ACAATATCCTAGATAACAACATTCACTTTAAATTAGTTTAAGAACATCTGGCGGGAAATCACTGTCTTCTGACAAACATTCAACATCCCTATACCACAACAGTCTCAAATTAACCTTAATTAATGGCAGCATATGTTGTTATCTACGAGATGGTCACTTTTGAGAGGTAGTAAAAAAAATTGTATTAGTAATACATGTACATGTGCTATTCAAACTGGACCATTATTTTTGGGATTCAATTGATGAGAAAAAGTGCTAGTACTGATCTATAACATGACATAACCCCCTTAAGAAAAAAACAAGTGGCTGCAGTTTCTGAGAAGAAGAAGCTGGGTTTTGTTTTTGAAACTTTACTCATCTGACTTCTGTTGCAAGGGATGGCAAGGATTCCACATGGATTGAAACTTGAAAATTTGGGCCAGCTTATTCAATTTTTGATGATATTCCTTCTCAGTAAAATCACCAAAAAAATGTCATGGTTAGTGCAGAGTGCTCTGTGATGGAATTTGTTTAATATCTTCTTCATTCTTCACTCTACAGGTGCATTTTGTGTATGGGTAAAGGCACTTAATAAAATAATCACAGTACTTTTAACACAGAATTGACCTACAGCATTGTACATTGTAAAGCAGTTGTTATTTAATTAAATTGGTTGCCCATAGCAATGTGTCCCCTAAATTCCCTTAAGGGTTAAGGTTTAAAAGCGAGTGCGAGATTTAAAATTCAGTTTTTCCTAGCAGTTGAGAAGAAGTGAAGATATAGTTGAACCCCACTATTTCAAAGTCCCAAGGGAAATGGAAAAAAGTTTGAAATAGCGGGCTTTCGAATAACTGGGGAAGCGTAAAATCACGTAACAATGAATAATTTTTTTAATAAAATACAGTACAGTATGAAGAGAGACACTGATAATAAATAAAATAATTATATGTTGGATAAATCAGCAGATGCTGTTGCACTGAAAATTCTTTGAATGTTCTGTTCGAGCTCAAATAAAATGCAATACGTTTCCAGCTGTGCTCTTATGTATGTGCTCTGTTTCTGACAAGTTCAAAATAATGGGGTTGGTTTAAGGTGTAGGGAAAGGACAATGAGTTTGAAATAGCCGGGAATTCAAAATAACCGAGTTTGAAATAGCTGATAGTAAATGACTGAAAACATAAGGGTAAATCCAAGGGAATTTGATCTTCCTTCAAAATAGCGGGGACTTCGAATTAACCGAGTTTGAAATAGCGGGGTTTGACTGTATGTGAATACAACTGAAAACAGAGAGACAATTCACACTAGTGTAAGTAGATGCTTTTTGAGGCATTAATTTTTCATCTTTTGAGCAATTTCTTATGTCAGCTTGGTTTTCTTTTCAGTGAATCAATTTATCTTTCTATTTAATGCTTGTAATCCATGTTGAACAGAAAAAGAAAGTGAGCCCAATTTCAACATGTGAATAAAGTTGAATTGTTAGAATACTAAGATCTGAGAAATGAATTTACAAGAGATGTGAACTGACAACAACAGCAGCAATATCTTCATGACCATAGTTAGTAGAGGAGACTGCTTATGAAAAATGGCAAACATATAAGATAAAAACAACAGCACTGCAGATTACAGCTGTATGTTAGGAGACCCCTGACTCTGCACATACAATTCTTAACTTTTTATTTTGCTTGTCACAGAATAAATTAATGCGACACTTTTATTGGTCAGAAAGATCCAAATTAATGATAGGAACGCTACTGAACATTGTGCACCTTCAAGTCCACAAATGTCAGGGTGGCCACCCAATGACGGTTTCCTCCTAATCCATTGAAAACACTTCTCAGGCTACCCAGAGTACTTTTAGATCTGTAGAAAAGCATTCTTAATGGCGCTATAAAATTCATATCTATTCGGTCATCCTAGGCTAGGAGAACTTGAGTCTTTTCGAAATTTGAAGGGATTATTAAAGACGTATTATTTTTTTCCAAAAATTTTAGATGCAATTTAACATAATTATTATGAAAGTGGAATTTTACTGATTCCTCACTCCATCACATTTTTGAATCCGAAAATTTCAGGTTTCCTTTTTCTATGGAAAAGAGCCTATTCTGGGGAGTGAAATGTGAAAAAGTAAACTTTAGGAAATTGTAGGGAATTTATAAGATAAGCTTTGCCTTTGAAAATTGTTCGTGAAAGGAACGGTCATCTAGAAATTTTTAGCTATCCTCAAGCAGAAGAAAATTTGAGGCAACATCTGGCTCTCCAAACAGATATTTTAACAGTTGTTGGGTTCCCCTGATATATAACAAAGGAGTCTGACAGTCTTCACATCTATTTCACTCCTTAACTGTGGTGTCATATACATACATGTATAGCCCCTTAAAGGCGGTTAATAACAACATACCTTCTTCACCAAAGGAAAAGCCTTTTTCTCCAGCAGCAAATGTAGCAAGCTCTTGGTCCCCTGTGGAAAAGGTAACCCTGTTGAGTACAAATAGAGCAACCAGTGAGTTCATATTGAGCGTTGTCTCAGTTCAAAGTGGTTCAAATTTTTCTTTGGTTTGAAAATTCCTAAACAACTGAATGCTAGTTTTTCTTTTCCCTTGGATCATCATAAAGGTTCTAAGGCAAAGGCAAATAAAAATTAGTGCCCTATATTTACTGTAAAGATTGCCAGTCACCACCTTATCAGTGCCTGGTCTATTTGGGCACGGTGCATTATACAGGTTTTTCTTAGTGTTGCGGAAAACTATTGTTGGTTAGCTATTGTGTTGTGGTGTGGGTATTGTGCGGTGTACTTTTAATGTTTTTGTATTACGTCATTTGCTGATCGCACCTGTCCCCAACACCAAGAGACTGCCCATTATAAAGTGTGAAACCTCCCATAAGTCACCGCCCAAAATGCAATTTAGTGGTTGCTTATGGGAGATAGTCACTCATGGAAATCAAATCACAAGGGGTCTCTTCCGAGAAAGGTCGTGACACATTTTCTTTTTGGAAGAGAATTTATTGCACTTAATTTCTAAGCTATGATATGTGTGGTTTCAATTTGTCAGTGGAAGTTCTTTGTATACTTTCAGTAGAGTAGTACATTCAATGAACAAGGAGCAGGTCAGAGGTCAGACCATGCGGCAAGTGGTTAATTACAAGAAGTTAAAAACAATGAAAAGGTTAGTCTGTTATAAGAGGTTTAACTTTGTTACAGAGCTTTGACCAGGAAAATTTTGATGTTTCGAATCTAATAAGAGGTAGTCACATAGATACGTGTTCCACTGTGTTATTGAACAGAGGGTCTAGAACTATTCTTTTATACATGTATTATTCACTTTAGGGCAGTCACTCAGTCTTAAAGCAGTTCAAACTATAAAAAAAAATCTGAATTGAACCAATTACACGTGACACAAGAAGGAATATAATATCAATTTGTACAATGTACTTACTGTCCATGAACAAGAATAAATATTTCCTGCCCCTTCCATCCTTCTTTGGTAATAATGGTATTTGCAGGATACAGCATAATAATTTCTGCAATGTAACAATTTACGCATTTATTCTTTCCTAACTTTTCTTTAAAAAAATGCCTGTTCTCTTTCTGTTAAACATTTTTCTCATTGACTGGAAAATATGCAAACCCTAAATAAATCATGGTCAAGTACATGTTACATGTAAAGACTGTACTTTAAAAACAACTGAAAGTAAGAAGTTTTTCCATGAGCTGTGACGTTTACAGCAGCATAGGACAAAATACTGTAATGGTGCCCCTCAATCAATTTCAGTAGTCTACACAACAACATTTGACCTTTTGTTTTCAGTCAGGGGTTGCTGATTTGAATAGTTCAAATTACTATATTTTTAAATAATAAAATGATATTAACTTAAGTTTAATTTACCAGGTTTAACTGTCTTTATTACAGCATCTAAAGCTTCTTTCTTCCAACCATGCAACACTGGAGACTATAATGCAAAAAATAATAAATTACTTTAAGGAACCTACATATAATTAAATTAAAAATTTGCTTAAAATTATTTTATATTTGCTTTTTTTTTTGGAAAATATGTTCAAGACAACAGAGATCAATACAGTTCGTAAATTACTTTTGGTATAATTTTAATATTATTAATAAATATCAAGATCTTACCCTTTGTAGCACATCAAGGGCAATCTCACGAGACAGCTGGTGACTGTTGAACAGTTTACTGGTGTCAAAGTATCTCCTATTAATAGCACAAACACACACAGATAATAAATTAAAATAAATATCATTTTCAGTGAATAACCAGCCCCAGCTTTTAGCTCAGGTAATAACATAATTAAGTGGAACCAACAAAGTTTTGTATTAGTTATACACATGTAGAGGCACTTGACTGCAATAACATTTACTACTCCATTCTGGTTGGCAGAGCTACAACATCTTGCATTTGTAGCGAATTGCCTAAAGCATTTTATACATAGCTGTCAAAGAACAGAGGATTTTGTCAACTGAAAAAAAATTGTAGGTCTCCGAACTTTCTGGATGGAATCTTTGAAGTTTGGTTACCCTTGAGAAAATTTCAAATGGTAGGTCAAAAAAATCATTTGAACTAGCAATGTCTTAGCCTCCCGCGCAGACGTTCTCAGGGGTTCGTCATGCGTTCCTGCCCCACGAACATCTGCTGACTTGAGCAGAAAAAAACGTAGACCAATCATAGCAGACTTCCAGATCTGGGAAGTGCACTTTGCACCTTAAGAAATTTCGCGCTTGACTTTATAGCTCAAAAAAAGTTCAGAAAGGTCTCATGAAAGGTGAAGACCTTACAGTTTTAGAACAAACTACTCAGTTAACTCACAAGCGTTCGTACTAATGGCTACCCTCAGAATCTCGTTGAAAAAAATTACCTCGGAGGTTAAATTTGCTGAACGGAAGTCAGCTTTACTACAAAACAATAACGGGTGAAAAAAATTCTGCCTTTTGTTCAGTCTTACAAGGTAACCCCGCCGTTGCAAATGACATCTAATCCAACCTTTACAGAGGTTAGGAGCAAAAATCTTTAGTCACGTATCACACTCTACAGAGCTTGTATGTATGTGTTTGGCTTGTCAACACTTTGACTTTAACAGCGCCGATTCGATCTCCGATAATCTGCATGTGATCTCCAGCCAATATGTGCGAACAATGGGAAAGAAACTTATCTTTCAGTTCAGCAGACGTTCGTGGGGCAGGAACGCGTGAGTAACCCTAAGAACGTCTGCATGGGAGGCTAGCAATGTCTTCCCATTTACAGATTTTTTTTGCAAAACAAAAAAAAAATTATGCATAGTGCGAACAAGACCTAAACTTTATACATGTGTCACATTGCTATGTAAAGGAACAACAGGAGAAACAGGTTTTCCAAAATTATCACATTTAGGATCTATTATAAGCACATAAGATAGTTGACACTAACCTCCGTTGAAACCACTGCAAGAGCGTCACTTCACTTGGAAATGTAAACAGTTGACGAGCATCAGAAGTTCTTAGCAACAAAATTACACACCTTGTAAAAGACAAAAAGATAATAGACACATTGTCACTTGAAAAGATAGAGGAGCAAAGTGAATCCAAAGTAGACTACTGGAAACCTGAATTATTTTAAGTAACTCTAAGATCCTGGTGTAAAATGCTTTATTATAAGGCTGAATATGCAAGCAGGCAAGATGAAGTGAATCCTGCCTTTTGATTGGCTACCTGAGCAGGCAAGAAGGGTCAATCTTGCCTACTGGGGATTTCCCACATTGGTGCCGCAAGTAAGTGTTCACTTTTTGGCCATATAATAAATCCTTTATTGTCCAAGCTTATTTGGTCAAGATGGACTGAATATTGACCTCCACTTCATCTTGGTCAATAAAAACACAAAAAAGGAACTAATATCCAGCCATATTGACCTCATGCTTGGTCAATAACACATAATATATACCTCACAATAATTTTCCACGACATTATGTACATCAAGAGGCTACTCAGTCACTTGCATTTATAACTTCTTTATCTTCATTTTATATCTTTATAAAGAACAAAGAATCATTCAAGAATTGACAGATTTTTGCAAAAGTTTAAAAATGACTTCATTAAACTACAGTGTTATAAAAATAACACTTCATTTTTTAAAAGCAATGCTTGATTTATAATCTTTCCTTTCACATTAAAATAGTACTAATTTCTCATCAACTATATCCACTGCATTTTGCTGTCTTTTCCATCATAGCAACACAGCAAATCACCAGTTTGATTATTTTTTATTTATTTCACTAAAACATGAAGTATTGTAACTACTTTTACAAAGCAATAATTAGCATTATTTCGAAAACAAAAAGAACTTTCACAAATGGTACCACTGTCAAGATTTAAATCAAACACCTGAATACTTCTCTATACCTGTTCACTGTCTTCACGTCAGCAGTGCACTTGATATTAAAAAGGACTGAAACTTCACCAAAACAATCACCAGCTTGGATCTCTCTCAGAACATATTTTTCATTTTCACTCACAACATTTACATTTCCAGACACAAGCACATAAATTCCAGATGGCTCTTGACCCTTCCTTAAAAGAATTTCTGGAGTATCAGGGGTCTCGACCAGTTCCACCCGACGTATCACCTCATCCCGTACCCTCTTATCAAGAACAAGTGGAAGGCGGTTCAAACAGTTTGCAAGTGTATTGACAGCTTCAGGTGGAAGTGATGGATTGACAGCTGATGCCAAATTTGGACGTACAATCTGACTCTCCCTTCTTTTGGAACTTTGCCTGTTACCCATTGCTTGGCAAATGTCTGTGGTGGATTTAGTTTGAGCAGGTTGTTATGCTATGAGAATAGGGGGTTTACCTAAGGGGAGAAAAATGAAAAAAATATAGGATTCATGAGAAAATGTACTGGGCAAACTTACAAACCAACAACTGGCCATCCATTTTACCAACATTAACGTTTTGTTGGTTTCACAGGAGTGTGTATATTAAGTTGCATAAATAGTGCAGAAGTATTCAAGGCATGCTTGTAAGGAGTCTCAAGGGGCTAGTACACTGTTTAAGATTTGTTAAGCTATGCAAGAGCCTTTTGAGGCATCTCTTTCAACCCTGGATTTTTTATTTTATTTACTGGTGTAATTTTCCCTGAGTTTGTAAAACTGTAATGCTATTTTTTGTAACGCTCTACACTCACTTCATCAATAAATGAGATCGATGCCCGCTCCTATTCTGTGTTTTGTGATTATTTAAATTAGTTACAAAATATTTTATAATTGTTTCAGTGTGATTAGAATATAACCTGAATCCTTATGATGAGTGTATAGTATTACATGTATGAAATAAATGGTTCTTCATTTGAACCTGAATCCTTATAATATGCCTTAATTAAACAATCAACTCTGCCTCTGCCTCAACAGATACTGTGAGATGGACATGCACCTCCCTAATCCAGATACCTAGAGCTGGTCCTTGCAACCACTCTTCAGTGTTTTGCTTGATCATGACTCTATGGGGGGAACATCTACAGCCATACATGTATTATAGTGACGGACCAAACAGTATCCATCTTAGAAAGCTTTGCAGGTTTTGATTTAGTACTCATGCATCGATCAGTATAAGTATAGAATTAAGTTAACTTATCCATACCCTTGAAGACAATATTATTGATTAAAGCTTGTATGGTTATACCATGCACGAAACGTAAAACATCTGTAAAACCTTACTCACCGGACCAGATTGCTTGTGCAAGTAAAACAGAAGAATAACTGTACACGTTTGAACCAGCCATGTTGATCAATTTGTAATCGTTTCATGTTAACACCATTTATCAGCTGAAGTACCTCAAAAGACTACAAAACTCACAGCAGCAGCAGCAGCCGCCATCTTTGTATAGCGAAGGTCGCGTTGCACTATGGTATATAAAACTGCCAACTCGTTCCCATTGTCCCGTGCGCCGAGTCAGAACTTGAAATTGCGTGACAAACGAACCCCAAAGGACGTCTGCGGGGAGGCTACAGGGTTATGGGCTCCTGCGCCGAGTCAGTACCTGTTCTTGTTACTCATTCAAAATACTTCGCTGTTTCTGATTGGCTAACACCCTCCTCCTATTTATTCATTTATTTACTTAGGTTTGCCAATTCTTGGCAGGGTCACCACAAGAATAGAAAGAGCATTTTCCAGTTGTCCGTCAGCTGCTAACAAATGAAACTGAAAAGTACAGGTACATTCATTTAATTCCAAAGATAAAAAAAGATCAGGAGTCCTTATTTTACGTCGATAGCGGCCGACAGTGCGCTTATTTTACCCCACCCCACCCCCTTCCTTCCTGCCGTACACCTTTATAATAGTATATAGAGAAATTCCGTTCTCTGAGTTTCAAATGAATCTTAATAGAACATTTCGACTTGAAGTGAAAATAATTAGTTTGAAACAATTTGGTGCATACAGCTCTTGGGAATTGACAGGCAAGTCAACTAAGACTCAGATGAGTCACGTGAAACTAGAGATATTCCTCTTAAAAAGCTGTACTGAAAAT